TTGTGGAATCCTTCCGAGGGAATTTGGAAGTCTGAATGATGGGCATATACTGTACGGTTTAGGGTTTAGGGTTTAGGGTTTCGGGTTTAGGGTTTAGGGTTTTCGGAGGACCATAGACGAGCAAGCCCCACATTAACATCCTTGGCGGGCCTGAATGGCACGAGGCGCGCCTCGGGTTCCCGCGCCTCCTCACACCCGAATGCCAAAACAGAAACAACAGGATCCAGAGGTGACATTGCAGGTTGGAAATTTTGGAACTTGAGATTAAGATCTAGTGAATGTGTCATCCTAAACCCTAAACCCTAAACCGGTGTCATCTTGACACCGAAGGACCACAGAGTCTGCACACTGTAAGCCGCATGCCCTAAGTAAATCCCACACCCTCACACCCTGAACCCTAAGGTTTAGGGTTTAGGGTTTAGGGTTTAGGGTTTAGGAACTCTTAAACTCACTGCGCCAAGCACCTGACGCTACAAAGATGGCAAAACTAAGAGGGTACGGGGTATAAGGAAGATGGCAAGAATCAAAAGGCTTTTGGTTCAGGCTTCAAGCTAGTGATATAAACCCTAAACCCTAAACCCTGAACCCTGAACCCTGAACCCTAAACCCTAAACCCTAAACCTATATATGGTTGCTACCCGGGGGAGAGGCTCACAAAGTGAGGCGTGTCTGCTCAGGGATCACTACAACAGGGATGACTGCACTGGGGTCTATTGTAAGGGCCCCCTAGTCTGGGATGCTACTACCACCACCGCTTCCACAATAACAGCAAAAAGCGCTACTCAAAGGGAAGTTTCTAATACCAGAGATGTTGTCTTGTACTAGCATGGAAAAGAAATTAGGGTCTAGGGCCATCTTCAACGACTTGACGCTGAGGTTGTCTGCTGTTGAGTTACATGCTCGTGGTAAGGAACGTGATCCGGACGACCTATTCTAATCGCGGTAGCTGCCCAAAACATAAACCAAAAACCATAACACCTAAACCCTAAAGCAGAAACCTTGACCCCTAAATTCCCTCAAACCGGAAACCAAAAACCCTAAACCCTTAACCAAGGACGTTAAACCCTAAACCGCAAGCCATCACAGCCCGTGCTCCTCAACGGAATCAAGACCGGGCTCGAATGGGTCACGACTCCTCGGAGTCAGTTAGGGTTTAGGGTTTAGGGTTTAGGGTTTAGGGTTTAGGGTTAGGGTTTAGGGTTTAGGGTTTAGGGTTCATGTAGACAGGTTCTTTTTGAGGTGTACTGGATCGGACTTTCGTCTGCTTCCGC